TAAATTTTAATTTTTGACTTGTACAATTGTTAAAACACATCAAATATACCAAATACTAAAACCGCACATTTGCATCTGTTTTGTATTTTCTCCATATATATTTGCGAGCGAGCGAATCCTCGGTGTGATCCTCCCGCCTGCAAACAAGTGTAAATGATTTGGATGGGTTATAGGTATGTGTACATGTATAAATCGAAATTGCAGAAGTGGTCTTTTAAGCAATACCTCATAACCCAAAATTGCTAATTTTTATCTACATATATGTATCTGTGTGTAATAGATTTTTCGACCCCTGTTAACTTTCCCTGTCACATATAAAAAATGTAGGTATGTCAAGGCTTAGACGAAGAACTACTGAATCGATTTGACTAGTTGTTTATTCTTAAAAACACGTTTGATCTGTTCAACTTGAATTGCAATTACCGCGTGACTAATTATTTTTGCTAAGATTTCGCAGAACCATATTATTTAGTTTATATGTATACATGTAAGCACATATCATTTCCCAAAGGCTTAATTATGGTCCAATTTAGTTCATATGCAAAATATGCGGTTTCTATGTACAAGCATATATTTAAAATAAAGATTTTTACGAAAAAGTTGTTCACAAAAGTCGTACTTATGGTAGGATTTCGTTTGCATACGTATGTACATACATATATACTACCAAATGCCCACTTGGTTCGGTACGCCAACTTCTGTTTGCCAAATTTCATGCTAATCTGTTCCGTAGTTTCCACGTGATTGAGCCACAAACATCCAAATTCACAAACTCACAATTATACGCCCTTATTCTAGAACTCGAATTTTCGTAATTCGTAAAAACGAAAAATCCACATGCTGCAACCCTTGCGGAAACATATGCAGCATTGCCAGCTATTAGTTGTTTTTCGAAGATAGCTGAATGAAGGAAAACAAAGTGGAAAGGAATTAAAAAACACTCATCATGTGCTTGTTTATTGTAAAATTGGTTAATTTTACATATTTTAAGGAAAATTATGGACTCTGATGTATTTGCAATTATAGCAGCAGAGTAAGCGGGCGCTATGGCAATGGATTCACAAAGGTATGCGGAGCTGTCGGGCATAGTAACCATGGGCGCATCTATGTCAGCATCTGGTTGAATTGTTGAACCACAAGCCAGAACTACTCCTATGCCTGAAGAACTGGTTCTTAATCCAATTAATGCAATAACAGCTTCTTCCAAGCCATTGAAAACATGCACTTTGTTAGGTCCACCACCTGTTGCATTTGCTTCTGCCTTCGGCCGCGCTTAGGGATTATAACCCTTACTAAGTAGAATTCTCCTTTCTGTGTTGCCGGAGAAGCCCCCGCATGTCAAAGGTATACAACATTTTCTTGTGCATATCACTCCGGCTACGCCGTCCACGGTATTTTTGCGCAGAACCCACGTCGAAATTTGCAAAAGAGTGCATATGCAAACCGAGTTTATTAATAAGCTAGTGGTAGGAAATTTGAAACAGTTATCTTGTATAAAATGTGAATCCTTTGATTACACGTGTATGTTAAACTTTTTGGATTCGGGTTATGCGTTTGGACACAACAACCGAAAATCCTTGTACATTAACTAAACCGGACCCAAGTTTCTCGATAAGGGCAACAAATATTCTTTTTTGCTCGTTTATATAAAGCAGTGGATAAAAATATACGTATATGCGAAAGGCAAATTTATCTGTTTAAATGAACACCACCAATATTGCTTGCAAACACACATCGATTTACATTGTTGCAATCCCCAACAAGTGGTCATCGCAACATTATTGATATGGCAACTCCCGATAAGTGGTCATTCGCAATAATGATACTGACATTTTTTACAACGTGAGCTGTTACTTTTTGGACTCGAACTTCCGCTGGAGAATCTTTTTTTTCTCGATAGCGTACCGCATTTTGTATTGTATACAAAATCAAAGTTCATCCATTAAATTAGTTTTATACATTGCATAAAACACTGTGTTATCATTTACGCACCAAAAGTGGTGACCCCGCATTAAAGCATTTTTCTAAAAAACCTAAGTTGGGCGTGAATGATAATAAAATGCCTGATAACGAAGAGCTCTCAAAAGAAATTGAGTCGCTTAAAATTCAACTAAACGAGGTATTGGCGTTTGGCGCACAACAATCAGCAGAGCAGAGCAATGCATCCGCAGCAAGCCAAATCACATCGATATCGGAAGTAAAATTCACGCAGTTTTATGAAAACGACCCGGAACTTTGGTTTGTCTAACCAAAAAAACCTCAAACAAATCGAAGTATTTGCACACAGTTGCCAACTTATCAAGCAAAGTCGAATTGCAAGTGAAGGAATTGACAAATTGAAGCAACAACTCATATCAATTTACTCCGAGTCAGCGACGATCAAATTTGAGAAGTTGATCTCAAATGAACCCCTACACTGAGAAAAAAAAAACGCGTTGTAATATTAAGAAAAATGTTATGAATTTATTGTTTGATACTTTAGCATTAAAATTTACTACTTTAGGTGGAAATACATTTTCAAATTTGAATTTAAAATTAATGTATTCTAGTCTGATACGAGCGTTGTAAAGTAGTGACGCTGACGACTGCTGGTGCGAGGAAGAAAAAATGATCAGAAGGGGGCAAAACGAAGTCAAAAGAATAGTGAGATTTTATTTGTGATAGAACACTTGTAGGCAGTGATGCCAGTAGTACAATATTTTTTACAAATATGAATTCATTTGAGGGATTAGGACATTGGGGATTGTTTTAACCTGATTTGGAAATATACGTATTTTGTCTTTAAAAATAATGTGGGTTATGTCAATAATATCTATAGTTGTACGAATATTATCAGTATTTTTTGTAGAAACCGAAAATCAACTCCGCCCACAAGTATAAATTCTATAGAAATGCATAGATAAATACACATATGTGACAATTACTCATTTAAAACATGGTCTGGCATCCTTATTTGAGCGTGAAAAAGCACTTCTTTCAGTGATGCCAGAAGTGAGCGTACACAAAATTTTTACCGATAATAACTCATATGAGAGATTTGGATATTGGGAATTTTTCCAAGTCTAGTAGGATATATGAGGAATATAAATACAAAGAATATTGATTATATTAATTAAGTTGCTAGATAAGTATATGAATATTATCAGTGTTATATATAATAAACAAAAATCAACCTGTCCGCCCATTAGAACTTTCGCTCTAATAGAAAAATATACATTGTGCATTTACTTAATACATGGTCTGGCATCACTTTTTGAGCATAGATGTGCTCAGCTAACTGTTGCCAACGCAGTTTCGCGCGTTCGTTTCAGTGATGGAAAAGTAGGCACAATAGTGCCATTTTTGGCACTTTCATTCGCAGAGGCACTTTCGGCACAATTCATTCAGTTATGTCACAATCATAACTTACAGAAATTTAGCATAAAATGGCAATATTTAACAAACAATCATAAAATTAAAATCACTTAAACATTAAAAGGACTGTTTTATGAAACTAATAAAAAATAATCAATGTAAAGAAGAATAGTCAAAACTGGTCAAAATGCCGAACTGCTATTTTGCACATAGATATATAGATAAACATGCCCGAATAGCTATACTTCCGTGTTTTCTCCCTTCGTAATTGGAATATTGTGTTATTTTACTATGAATTCTGGGGAATTGATGAAACCAAGTTTTTCTGAAAGTCTGGATTGTATATAGAAAAGAAATTTCTCAGTTCTCCCATGTTGGCGATTTTAAGCCCTTTTCTAGTTTCAAGTTGGTGGTCGCAGTGTAGCATTTAAAACAATTAATAGTGATTAAAATACAAATATTTATACACACAAAAGACCTTTTTGCCGACTTCGGCCCGAAGAATCTGGGCTTGTAATTTATTTTTAACAAAAACGGCCGCTAGGGGGCGCTTTAGTTTAAAAAAACATGGAAGGAATATGAAGGAAAAGTACAAACAATGCTTCTCAACCAGCAGCCGCAGTGTTTTTGGTAAAAATAAACGCCTTTTGATAAAAAATAAACTGCAGATTCAGATTCCTCGTGCCCGAATATCCCCAGAAAAGTATTTCGATGGTATGAATATTTTCTTTTTAAACACTTTTAAACATTTTAAACGTCTGCGACTACCAATTTCAAATTGAAAAAAAAATCTTAAAATCGCCAACCTGGGCAAATTGAGAAATTGCTTTTCCATATACAATCCAATGATTCAGAAAAACTTGCTTTCATCAATTCCCAAGCTGACTTCCGAACAGTGTAATTCAATAAATAATTTCACTACTTTTTTTTTTAAATATTGCTCTTAAAAAGCCTTAAAAGAAAGAAATTTTAATTTTGTGGTACTTTCATCTTCTTTTCGGCACTATTTTTCCAGTCCATTAGGCACATTTTGAAATTTTAAATTCCATCCCTGGTTCGTTATAAATGAGCATACATACATACATATGTACACATGAATGTCTGCATCTACTATGCATTTACTATGTACGTATGTATGTATACTTGTGAATAAGCAAAATTAAATCCCGTTAGCAAAAATCATATAGCGATTCTACAATAGCGCAGTGGCAGTGGCAGTGACAGTTTTTAACACGCAGTAATAGTTCGAAAAACTGCCACTGCCACTGCGCTATTAGGTGCATTTTTTTGTAAGCGAGCGACAAGAGAACGCTAAACTCGGGTAAAATTTCCTTTTAGCTACTTAAACAACCCTGTTGGTAACTGACGAGAAACACGTGATTAGTTTAACTGGATTTAGATACAAAAACCTATGAAAATTATTAATTATAAGAGGTATTTGCGTAATATATATACTTATTTAAAATATAAGTCATGTATATAAGGAAACAAAAATTTCCCTCTCCATTTTCCCATTAACAATTCACAATAGAACAGATTTTTCACTTAACAACACTACCCTTCAGGTCGCGTATTTTTTAACCGACCTGGCTGAACTCGGATAAATAGTCGAGTTTGTGTTGTTGCTTTGCATGTATTTCGTAATTTAAGCGAGTGTTCTTTTGTAGCTCGGTTACAAAAGAATGCACCTATTGTAGAATCGCTAATAGCCATCTCGAATGTTCAGCCAACGCGAGCAGTGCAATGAGAAGAAAAACAATAACAACAATGCAAAGCAAAGCCTACTTCGATGTTGGGAAACAAAAGCAGTAACAACAACGAAGCGCACCGTAGCCTACTTCGTTGCTTTCAGTGAGTGAAGCGAAGAATAAGATTTTTAAATCTGAAGTTCAGTTAAATAATTGGCGTCGCTGCGCACAAAATGTGTGAGAAGCTGAAGGAGCTACTGGTTCAATTTAACCAAGAAAATTTATTTAAGGAACTATCTGGTATGTGTGTATACTTTTAATTATTAACAAAGTGAGTTATTATTGATTCCGTTTTAGACGCTGGCATAACCTACATAAGACTGCAATACCTAAACGATGCGGATATCTCAGATGCTATTAAAAGTGTAGGCGAACGGGCGGAGTTCAGAGAAAAACTTTGGCTTTGGCGACAACAAAAGTATCCGAGACCTAAAAAAACGATTTCAGATTGGACCAACAAGGTGTTTTATTTTTCTTAAAGTGAAAATGCAAAAAGACGTAACAAACATCGACGTTGAAATGTAAAAAGTCATAACTAATAAAAAATTCAAAATTCATTTTTGATTGATATGATGGATTTCTTCGTTTAACGAAAAAAAATTAGTCACGACTTTTTCCATTTTAGTGACGATGTTTGTTACATCTCTTTGCATTTCAGGTGACGACATATTCCATAATACATATAATACTTGTATCATTTTAAAGTTTTTGCTAGATGAAGTGCTTCGTGAAAGTCCTGATGGTCGATCACTTATTTCATTGCGTTCAGATGACGAGAAAACACCCAGGCTAAATGAAAGTCAGCGTTGTAAACTATTAAATGCAATTTGTAGCTACACAGCTGAGCACAACATAGAATTGCGAACAAACCCCTTTTTGGACATAGTAAAAGAAATTGGAGAGTTTTTTCCAGGTGAAAAGGAATATCTGGTAAGAGAATCCTATTTTTGTTATTTGATATTATAAGAGATATACAGTTAATTTTCATTTCTTAAATTGCAAGACTATTATTACATTAAAAGAAAAGTTGGTGGTAGCCCATCCGGAAAATTGTACTCCAAATACGTAAACCTCTATTACAAACGTAAAAGACTAAGCACTATTTCGGCTGAGACTACGATCGTTGAGTCTTCTAAATGTTCCGAATCTCCAGAGTTTGACGAAAGGATTTTATCTGGTCTTAAAACAGAATTGCAACGTGACTGCTCCAATTGGGATACAGTATGCGATAGATGGGCCAAGACGTTTCCTCTGCGACGCAAAGAGTTGAAGGAATTAAATAACGTGGACTTTTTAAAACAGTGGCCGAAGTTATTGGACAGCAGATCAGTTTCTTTGGTAATATGTTTTTAATATCTGTTTTCATATCAATCATTTGAAATTGCTTTTATACAGATAAATATTGACTTTGACGTGTTGTATCCTTCCAAGCAATATATTCTGAAGTCCAAGTTTGAAAAATTTAAAAACAGGATTTGTAAATATTACCAAATAAATTTGCGAAATCAACTCTCTAAATCAGCTCTAAAGGATGCTATAGAAAGCAATAATTTAGGAATAACGTATGTATTTTTTAAATTTCATTTTTAAAAATTATCTAATGTTTTGTATGGATAAGGAAGACTGCACATTGATTACGTTGCTGAACTCTACACTGCACCCTTCGTTCAGATTTGAAGACTCATCCGGTAAGAAGAAGAAAAAGGCAACTATAAGCAATGGCAAATGCGTTGCCAATGTTCGTGAAAAAATTCAAGAGCTAGTTGAAAAAAGCTTTGTAAATGATACAACTCTTCAGCCTTTTATTATTGTTGAAGGTGAATATAAAGCATTTTCTTTATATTTAGATCAAGTAACTCATAAATTCGACTCAGTTATTGATGCTCTTGACACAACTTTTAAAGTGTTTCAAGTACTTAACCTTGTGTATCCAAAAGTATGTCCTTTGCCATGGACTTTTATTCAAATGTACTTCTATGAAATTGTAACACCTTTTGATATAAAATCGCCTTCTCTTACCTCTCTTATCAGTTTCATGAAGGAATAAATTCTGTTATTCAAAATGTATAATTGCTTTATATGTGAAAAAGTATACTCTACTAGCGACGATCTAGTAAAACATTTAAAATTACAACATTTTCTTAGAGAAAAAGATCGTAAAAAATGTACATTTGAAAACTGTAACCAAATATTTTCACAGTTCAAAACTTTTAAAAAACACATTGAAAAACATAGTAGCAATAATCAAAATGTAAAATCTAAGATTCAAAATGAAGAATGTAAAAATGCAAGTCTAAATACTTTATATATATCAGAAGAAAACCCTACGAATTTAAACGATTTTAGTGTTCAAAATACATCAAATGCAAACAGATCGCAACACTCATGGAATAATTTACACAATGATATACTTTTCCGAAATAATTTGTTAGAACTAAGTGAGGACGTACTTGAATTTTCCGTCTCCTTATATGCAAAAAAACAAACTTCCGCGAAGTGGAGCACTTGTAATTCAAAATAGGGTTTTAAGTTTGTTTAAAAAGATTTCGATATGCATTGACGAGATAGTAAAAGATAGCTTTTCCGTAACGGGTAACTTACGATTGTTATCTGATTTTTGCTGCAATGCGTTCAATAGTGTGACATCAGAGCATAGTTTAAGAAAGCATATTAAAGAAAAAAACTTGCACGAATACCACAAATCAGTAGTTATCGAAAGCAAAACAAGCGAAGGTTTTACCAAAGGAATTCCCACTTTTTCGCCAAGAGTAAGATATATTGAAATTATGCCAATAAGCTTCCAAATCAAATCATTTTTTGAATTACCATCTGTCTTAGACATAGTTGAGACAAATACTCTTCAAATGATGAAGTCAAACAATTATACAAATGTTGTCAATGGTGAGGTATTTAAGAATATTGCTTGCAAAATATCAAATGCGGACGTAATAATTCCATATAACCTATATTTTGATGACTTTCAAATAAATAATGCGTTGGGAAGGCATACATATTCAATATGTGGATGCTACTACAATTTTTCTGCGCTACCTGTTTATTTGCAATGTAAATTAGATTTTATATTCCACGCTGCGTTTGTTTCTAGTGACAGTTTGAAAACTTGTGGCATTACTATTTCCCTGCATCATTTAATAAAAGAATTAATGATACTTGAAACTGGTATAACAATTTTATCCAAAAGGGTTGTATTTGTTTTGAATTTTATAATTGGCGATAACCTCGCTGTCAATAATGTTCTTGGATACACGCAGTGTTTCAACTCAATTCGATTTTGCAGATTTTGTAAGAATACTAAATCAGAAACAAGGATCAGTGCAGAAGAAACCAACAGAACAGTACTATCTTACGAAAATGACTTAAAAGATATTAACTCCGGAATCAAAAGTGAGTGTCCGTTTAATAAATTAAGATATTTTCACGTTATTAATAACGTTTCCTTCGATATAATGCAGGATATGTTAGAAGGTGTTTGCGTGTACGACACTTCAAAAATTGTGTTAAGCCTTATTGAATCCTAAGTAATAACCATTGACTTACTAAACAACAGAAAAAATTTATTTCCATATGGTGAATTAGAAGTTGGCAATGTGTCAAAAGTTTTATCTAAGAAAAACTTACAATCATGCAACCTAAAAATGACTGCATCTGAAATGTTGTGCTTTATAAGATATTTGCCATTAATGTTAGGTGATATCGTTCCAAAAGAAAATATATTTTGGAAGTCTCTCCTCAACCTAATATCTGTCCTTGATTTTCTTATGAAAGATGAGTATTCAGAAAATGATTTGATTTATTTAGCAAAGCTCATCAAAGAACATCATGAAACATATGCTCGTTTATTTGGACATCTCAAACCAAAACACCACTTCATGGTACATTATCCGAAAGCAATACGAATGGGTGGCCCATTGAAATACTTGTGGTCAATGAGATTCGAGGCGAAACACAAAGATACTAAAATCTATTTCAACAGCATAACTTCACGCTTGAATCCATCTAAAAGTATAGCGCGAAAAAGTTGTTTCCAATTTTCTTATTTTTTACTAAAATATTCCTTAGGGGTTCCAAAAGAATTCGAAGAAAATTATTTTCAAAATCATAACCCAGATCTTTTAAAAATCTTTGAAAGCAATGAATTTGGAATTGATATAAAATCAGCAAAAACATCATATGAAATAACTTATAAATGTTCCATATATAAACAAAAATACTACATTGGCATTCTCTGCAAAGATTTTAAGCTTTACAAAATTAACTTTTTTTTGCTAGTTAATGACAAAATATTCATAGCATGTAATGAAATTGCAATAAAAGGATTTGACAAGCACTTTGTGGCTTATGAAGTAGGAGAATGTGTTAATGAAAACATTGTTACTCCAATAGATAACTTTTCTACTCGTCCCATGCATTTGTACACAATTGCAAATGGTAAATGTTGCCGTCAAATCGCCAATTTCACCAAATTCACCACATTGAAATATTAGAATTTTTCTCTCCTAATGCATCCCTGAAAAATGACTGTGAACACACACCGGAGAAGAGGAAGAAGACGAAATTTTTTAAAGCTGCTCGCGCTAACTTAATTATTTTGCAAAAAAGAAACTGAATTTAATCGAATTAAATAAATAGTTAGACTGCTGAAAAGATCGAATTCTTTTCTTTTCTCCGCCGTCAACAAATCTTTAAAAAATTTCTGGCGTCTCGGTAAATATCACTTGGAATCGCGATCACCGTCTGCAGAGAGCGCGTGTTATCCAGATGCACGTAAAGAAAACGGTGGCGATAGCGTTCACAAGGATAAATATCGAGTTAAATCCAAAGCATCAGTTCCGAGAGAACCAAATTTCTGGTGTACTGGCAAATTTCCACGCACACGGCACATATTTATACAAGCACTTGGGCAAATATTACACACCTCGTAGTTTTGTCACAAGGCATGTGCGTTTGCAATATCTGCGGAAAAAAGTCGGACAAAGAAAGAGTCGAAGATTGGGTGCAGTGCGACGATTGCGAACTGTGGTTTCATTTCGAGTGTGTTGGCGTTGACGAGAGCGTGCAATATTGTAACTGGAGTTGTGCTTCCTGTATGAAAGAGGCTTCTAGTGTAGGGACACTACACACTCGCGAACATACAATGCAGCAATCAACTACATCAACGGCCTCCACACCTGAACAGAGAGTGATGGAATCGGCTAGCTCAGCAATTGGTACCACTCAATCGAATCACACCGATCTTCAGGGGAACGCAGACCCACAATAAATAAATGAAATTATCACAACGCAAAATGGTTCCAGCGAAGGTAGTTATCGACAACAGCTTATGATGGCCATGCTCGAGGAAAAGAGAGCAGCAGAAGAACGCTTTATCGAGCAGAAGTACCAGCTTCTCGTGCAGATGAACTCTTCAGGCACTCCGACGTCAGATATCCTGTCAACTCTGCAAGTAGCAGCGAGCACTGGCCCGACGAGTTCACAAATAGCGGCTAGACAAGCAATACCCAAGGAGTTGCCTACGTTCAGCGGTGACCCCGAGAATGGCCAATGTTCATCAGCACGTTCGATCACAGCACTGCGGTGGCGGGATTTTCGCATGTCGAAAATATGCTTCGGCTACAACGGTGCCTTAAGGGTAAGGCGCGCGAATTGGTGAAGGATAAGCTGCTCTTGCCCACGATGGTCCCCGATGTCATCAGCACTTTAAAAATGTTCTTCGGTAGACCAGAGCATATCCTAGATAGAATGATCGACAAGGTAAGAAAACTTCCACCGCCCAAGGATAAATTAGAATCTATTATAGAATTCGCGCTGGCCGTACGCAACATATCTGCAACGATGGAGACGTGTAAGCTTGAAGCACACCTGAACAACCCGATGTTGGTGAAGAAGTTAGTTGACAAGTTGCCCAATCAGCATAAGCTCAGCTGGGCGATGCATCCCCGTGAAGACCGTTCTCCATCTATTATTAGTATTTAGCGACTGGCTGTATCGGTTAGCTGAAGCAGCATCAACGGTAGTATCACCGGCAGTCATGTACAAGACGAGTTCTGTCAACGCGCACAGCAAGGGCGAAGTCCTTTGGCATAAGCTGCGGTCCATGTATCGCGCACTACGTTCGAAACAAAAATGCAGAAGAACATCAACAGCAGCATCCACAAGCATTCGAAGCTATCCAAAAGGCGCACTACGTTGACGACTTTATCGATAGCGTAGACAGCGAGGAAGCTGCCTTCGAAGTAGCAGACCTTGTTCGAAAGGTTCATCGAGCCGGCGGTTTCGAAATACGTAATTGGGCGTCAAATTCCCCAAACGTCCTTACAAAGCTAGTAGACGAAGAGGTAAAAGCGCAAACTCCAGTCCAGTTTGGGGACACGGAGAAAGTACAACTAAATACTGGGAACCACACACCGACGTTTTTAAGTATGTCTTCAGGTTCACTCGGCTAAGACGACCAGTGTTAGTAGAAGATCTCAAGCCAACCAAGCGAGAGGTTTTGCAAGTGCTGATGTCGATTTTCGACCCACTGGGATTGTTGGCATGCTACACGATACTTTTACAACGAGTCTGGCGAGTCAACATTGGGTGGGACGAAGAGCTGCCAGAGGCCCTTTGCGGCGACTGCAGACAATGGAAGCGGCTGTTGCCGTTAATGCAAGCAGTTGAAATTTCGAGATGCTACTCACGTAACTTGACTGCGGCAACTGACGTGGAGATTCACACATTCGTCGATGCTAGCGAATATGCGTATGCAGCAGTGTGCTATTTGCGGGTGCTTCGAGGTGGCGCGGTCGACGTGTCGTTAGTGGCAGCTAAAAGTAAAGTCGCTCCATTGAAGCCGATTTCTATTCCGCGCATGGAACTACAAGCCGCTGTAATAGGCTTGCGTTTGGCTCAGCGGGTGATGAAGGTGAGCAGACTCAAAATTCAACATGCCACTTACTGGTCAGACTCCAAAACCGTCTTGAATTGGTTGAAAATGGATCCTCGTAATCTTCAACAGTTTGTGATGCATCGCGTCGGGGAGATCCTCGAGAATTCCGACAATACTCAGTGGCGGTGGATCCCAACTAAATTGAATGTAGCTGACGTAGCGACTAATGTAAATAGTGCGGTGGAAAGCAAGCAGTGGTTGCAGGGACCCGAATTCCTGTTCACGCCAAGTAGTATGTGGCCAGATCCTATTGAACCACTTAACGACTTGGATATTACCGAAGTTCGAAAACATGTGCATGTAACGCAGAAAAATCCGGCAATCAAGGTAAACGTAGAGTACTTCTCTAATTGGCGTCGGCTCTATAGGGCGACGGCGACGTTTTATTTGTACGTTTCTCGGTTAAAAGCCAAGCGACTAGGCTACAATAAACCAAGCGAAGTCATACCAGAGATGATTGGCAAGGCCGAGAATCTGCTATACAAACAAGTGCAGGTAAGGGCCTTCTATTCTGAGATTAACACATTACATTCAGGGCAACCACTCCGAAATCAAAGCAAATTATCCGGGTTAAACGTCTACCTGGATAGCAATGGGATATTGCGGATGCAAGGGAGAGCTGCTTCCATTAACTGCCGAATGGATGCCATTGTTATGCCGAGGGAAGACCACACGACGCTTTTGATAGTGAGAGCTTATCATGAAAATAACCACCATCTATCACATGAGACCGTCATTAATAATGTCAAAAGTTCATACTATATTCCACGTTTACGCATACTATATAAGTCAGTACGACATGCCTGCCAAAGATGCAAAATCGACTATGCGAAACCCGAAGCTCCCCAGATGGCACCGATACCTGCTGCGAGACTGGCCAGCTACACGAAACCATTTTCATTTACAGGTGTAGACTACTTCGGGCCGATCCTTGTAAACGTCGGTAGGCACAAAGAAAAGAGGTGGGTTGCACTCTTTATTTGTTTGACTCTTCGAGCTGTACACTTTGAAAGCGCGTATAGTCTCGACACCAGCTCATGCATCATGTGTCTTCGCAACTTCATGGCAAGGCGTGGTACTCCATCAGAAATCTATTCCGACAACGGGACCAATTTCAAGGCCACCGAAAAGCTTGTGCGGGAGAAGCTCATCGAAATTGACTTCGGCAAGAT